ATGTTGTTCAAAAATAAGGTTCTATTATATAAGGGACGATAGTAGACAAAGGAATTAAGTGTTACATCGCACTGGTGTAATAACTATAGTTGGTGTCCCAGAAAAGATGCTTTATAATGCTTTGTTCAAAATAAGTTTCTATTACATACGACAGTGAATTTGTCACCAAAAATTCTTTTGACTATATTAAAATGTAATGTACGTGACACCGATTGTTCTATACGATGTTGTTATCGCATGGTAATTTTTTATTAGATATTACTGTATGGATCCCAAGAGTGCGATGACAACCCTTTTCTTAAGGCTCCAATTTACTCTGTCATGAAATTCAGTTACTCAAATTCCTGTAATTTGCCTATTGCATGACAAAAATGAAATTTTTGGTTTTGGGATCCTGCGAAACTTTATAGCATTTAATGATATAACGATATTTTAATTCGATTGATTTAAATAAGCGTGAAAATTGTAACTATAAAATTGCATGAATAATTTGTATAAAAATGGAATAGAAAATAAATATTTACAAAAATAAGATGCATATTTCGTTTATAAAGCTTGAACTTATATCTGTTGGATCGTAGAGCATTTTCAATGCACTTTCACGGATTCGGAACGAACTACTCCAGTTAATAAATTCAAATGTTTAATATGTCCTCTGTGCCATGTCGCTTTGTAAACCTTAGTAAATCCACCAATTCTGATATATTCAATATCCAAAAACTCCTCATATGGTATCCACTCTAAAATGCCTTTGCTTGATTATATGATGATCTTACGAGAAAGTTATTAATATCCTGATTGTCACTTTTTGGAAATAATTTTGCAAAAGAACAAAGCCTACAAATTTTCTTGTCCACATCCACATATCTTTGTATATGTTGCAGTTAGAATATTCCCCCTTTGATAATGCCTACTGCTAACGTGTTTTGATCTTAGGAGTTCAACTTGAATTTTTGGAGGCTCTGGTATCTTTTTGCTAGCTGCTATGTTAAAATATTAAATTTTTTAAAATAGTTGATCAAAGCCAAATCCGTATGATATAAAGTACTAATAGATACGAGTTTATAAATACTGTACTATAGATTTTTTTGATAGGTTTTTTTAATTTATAGTTAGTTATAGAAAATATATTAATATAGAAAACAATATTTTTACACACAAAAACACAACACTGAGTATTTGATCTTTGCTATAAAATTTTTTTTCTATGGACCAAGTGATTATAAGATATTTATCAAGTTTTTTTGCATTGTATAATATAGGGACTTGGTAAGTAGGTCTTGACAAATTAGTTCTTTTCTTATGCTATACTTTCTTTTGTATATCCAAAAAGATAATGTAGGATTCATAGAATAACAATAAGTTACATAGTGTTACACTTGATTTTTGCCCAAGATCTTCACCACCCCTTGACCGATTTTCACTAGCATTGACCCTTGAAATGTTAGTTATTCTAGAATAGTTTTGTATTACAGATCTGTTACTGCACCTTCGGCATCTATCGTATTTATTGTACCTATTGTATCTTTATCATTTCTAGAACATTTCTATTTTATTTTATCTTTACTTTCTATATTATCTTCACCAAAGTATTTATCTATGTAAATG